TTGTACTGGAATACTAATAATACTAATCATAACATGCAAAAGCACGCTGGAAAGCAAAAGGACACTCCACTGCTTGATCCCTGCGGGCTGGATACAAGCACATGAACTCAAACGGGTTTTTTTGGCGAGCTGTCACGCCTCAAGTCGCAACGCTGGCCATGTGGCATCCGACGACGCGGCCACCGTCAGGAGTTAAACATGAGTGATTGAAATCTACACTCATCCGTGAACTGCGTGAGCTTGCGCACGCGCTCAGCACATGCGCTCAGCACATCTTTAGAAAGTCTGTGAATTAACGGCTCAGCGTTGAGAGGCCTTCACCACATCCTTGAAATCCATCAGTGCCTGGTAAGCTGCCTTGGCATCTGCTGCGTTTACCTTCGACATCATGTAAGGGCCCACATCACTGCCCAAATTGAACTTGTTGAAGGCATTGTAGACGTCCATGGTCTGCGAAGCCGGCACGGAGGAAATCATGTGTCCAATCGCGGCATTGATAGCCGTGTAGTCCGCAAGCGTCGCCACGCCCTTCGAATCCATGTTGGCAATGGCCTGGCTGTGTGCCAAAACACCCGTCTTCAAAGCAGCTGGGTCCATTGAAGCACCCATCTTCAGCATGGTGTTGATGGCCTGAAGATGTTCCCGGGACCCCAATAAGAAGTACGACTGGACTTTTCTCTTAGGAACCCCTGAAAAGGAGAAGGATTGCAGGGCTTCCCCTCAAAATTGGGATCAATGGCCTTGAGCACATCCAAAGCATTCTGCGTGGGGAGCTTGGCATAAACGTCGGAGGTCCAGTCAATTTCCTGCAGGAACGGATAGGACTTTTCCGACAGCACCTTGGCGGCATCGTCAATCTTGTCTGCATACGCCGGCGCCGCTCCCAGCATGCCCAGTGCTCCAGCCCCCACGGCCGCAGGGGCCACACGAGCAAATCGGCCGGGCCCAGGCACAAAGGCCGGGAGGCTGCAGAGGCAAAGCCCCAAGATCAGGACTGCAACTG